CTTGGCTCTTTCCACAGTTTGGTTATTGTGGACATTGCTGCTATAAACATCGGGGTGCACGTACCCCTTTGGATCCCTACATTTGTATCTTTGGGTTAAATACCCAGTAGTCCCAGGCACCCCTCTTATAAGTATGTTTTTAGAGGGATTTAGACTGCAGGAGTTCCTGACTTCAGTGTAAGTAGAAACTACTGTTTGTTTCCCCCACAGCTTTGAGATTAATGGAAAAGAATTATCTGACTCGGGCACCAATCCCTTGACTTTCAGCACTAACCCAAAGGTCTCTCTCCTCTTTGTACTGAGAAAAAAAGGAGAGAGGCTGCCTGCTTGTTATTTGTCAGTGTCTTTCTGCCAGTTTTTTCTCAGGACAAGTTAAGGGTCTTTGTTGTTTTTGTTTTTTTCTGAACCTGAACTTCGGTAACTTTATATATATGCCGATGAAAAGAATTTTCAACTGTCCAGTGTACTTTTTAAGAGTCCATTTGTTAGACAAAATATGAGGAAATGTGGTCTATTTTATCACTTTTTTTTTGGTTTCTAAATACAGATAACAGTACATAGGACAAACTGGGGGAGCAGGTTCTGCCACTCTGCCCAGCTCACCTGTTATCTGATATCACCACTTAGATGGCAGAATGAGCGATGTGGTGTAATGGGGTTGGAAACTTGCCCACGCCGAGGCCACAGAAAGAAGTAGCTCTCATGTTGAGAACTGGGGAGGTTGGGACAAATCACTACTTGACATATGCCAGTCACATAATTTCACAACAGAGTACAAAAAGGAACCCCACACAAAAGGAAATAGAGAAAAAAAAGTCAAAGTGAAGGTACTATATAATGTATGTTTTTCTTAGAAGATCAACCCTAGAAATATGACATGAATGTGCACCACAGTTTTATCTATGAAATTCAAATGATAGTTTTACTTTTACCAAGATCTCCACACTTAGTTTCTGGTGCGTGCGCACACACACACACTCCACACACACACATATACAAATACATATTATTTTTCATGTGAAATATGCCATTTTCTTAAAACTTACGTTTTTTTTATCAACAAAGTTTGCTTTTTGTGTGATTCTTCTGTTCAGACATATAAACTATATATAATTAATATAAACATATACCATAAATCTTACAAAATTATAGGAATGATCATTACAAACAAATGTGTTTAGCACCCATTTTGTAGATAGCCCATTGCCTCTGAGCATCTACATTTTTCTCTACTTTATTGCCCTAAAGCAAGTGTTTTGGCTATCTCTCCTAACTTTTTATTCTTCCAGCCAGAATAAAAGTTTTCAACAGTAAGAAAATTAAGGGTCCTTCCAGGACCAGGGGAAGTTGAGTGATGTAAGGAAGCATTCACTCAGAAACCTGGCTTCTGGACCAATCTTTAAATAACTAGTGAGAAAGACCAGAAGTTCCCAATAATGCTTCTTATTATAGAAAATTACTTCATCTCTTAGAGCCTCCTTTTCCTTCTTATAAAAGTAGGGCATTATATAATTATAAAACAGCTAAGTGATTTCTAAGTCCTTTCCAGTTCTAAAAGTACATAATTCAAAGCTGCTAAAAATACTTTTTAAAAATTGATTGAGATTTATATATGTGTTTACACACACACACACACACGCACACTGTGAAAGGGGAGGGAATATACAGTATTTTATACCAGGACTTTACAGTACATCATTATTGAGACGTTTTTGTTCCTGAAAAATAAGTTTCAGGGTAGCATTCGCCCAGCAGGGGGAGTTCTTCTGAGAGTCCAGGTTCAGGAAACAGTTCCAGCTACTCCCACTTAGCCTCCAGGCGCTTCAGTCCGGATACAAGGCAGTGTTTGGGGGCACCACATCCTAGCTCAACTGGGGACCCAGCGGAATTTGTACCCCCCGTTGGCTGTCCTAATGGTGAAGGCATTGCCCTGGGGGAAAGCGAGGGTGCGGATGGTGCTATGGCTGCGGATGGGGGTGCTGAAGGAGCCGCCCTCTTCCAGCTCACTGTGGCTCAAGTTCAGCGCGCTCCCGCTGCAGTCTGTGCGCAGCCCCCGGAAGGTGCCGTGCAGGTTCCCCGGCATGCCTGCCTTGCTCGCGGGCTCCGGCTGTAGCCGCAGCCGCTTGGGGTCGCGGCTCTGCAGCGCTTCATCGCAGCGCTCGGAAATCTCCCTCAGGATGGCGTCCACTTCCGCGCAATCCTGCCCGGTAGCACTGAACAACTCTTCCAGGCTCCTTTTGGCTGTCGCCTTGAGCAGGAAGGGCTCGGCTGTCGTTCCGCAATCCCGGGACTGTGTGATCATCAGCTTCTACAAAAGATGGGGAGGAGCGCCAAGCTGGGGTCGGCTGGGCTCACCCTGCGCTGGGCGCGCAAAGCAGACCCGGGCGCCTTTTCGAACTCCGCGGGCTTAGACGCGGGCTGCAAGGGGCTCAGCAAGCTCTCAGCAGCCACCGCCCTTCTCCCAACTCCGCTGGGTCCCAATACTGGGAACAGGGTGGGGGCTGCACAGGAACATTTCCGACGTCCCGCAGTGTCCCACAGGCCCGCACCCCACTTACATCCAGCACCGAGGCCAGGTGCCGGGTCCGACTGGCAAGTTCCTTCAGTTGAACGTTCCGCTCTTTGAGCGAGGCGATCTCCTCCTGTTTCTGGGTCAGCGTCACGTGCAGCTGCAGGAGGAGACCCAAATATTAAGAGGTAGGCCACCGTGGTCGGTCTCATCTGTATACTCTGCATGAATTTTACCAGGATCCTAACATCTAATCTGGGACTGGGGACCCAAGGGCACTTGCACTGGTGAGAATTATAATCACTTTTGTTTAGTTGTCCTTTGTTTTTACAAAGCACTTAGACAAAATGTATCTCAATCTTCAGTGTAGCTGGTGGTGAAGAGTACGGACTTGGGCAACAAGCAGATACAGGTTCTGCCTCTGAAGTTCAATCTTCCTGTACCTCAGTTTCCTAACCTGTAAAATGGGGTAGTAAGGGTATCTTGTTCAGTGGTTGTATTAGAAGAAAAAGTAAATTGATAAGCACAATACCAGGTGTATAGGAAGCCTTCAGTAAATATTGGTGTCCCTTTTAAAAATCTGGTCGGGCAGGATCATTCCCGCTTACTGAGGTTGGAAACTGAGGAGAGCCACTGGAGCAATGGTAGCTACGAGAAGCACCCGCTCGTGCACTGGTTCTGACCTACACTGGGGCACATTCCCGCTCCTGCAACCCCCATTTCCGCCCAGAGCTCCATAACCTGTCCCCAACCCAGGATTCCTGGCGGCCAGCCCGGTGCCCCTACTTGGTTATTCTCAACGAGCGCGTCCCCCAGTGCCCTCTGGTTCTGGTCGGCCACCTCCTTCCAGTACTGCTCCGGCGGGGGCACGTCCGGAGGGCGCGGCGGCGGTGACTGCAGGGCCCTTGGGTCCAGCGGCGGAGAGAGACAGGGCCCAAATGGCAATACGTCGCAAGGAGAGAAGGGGAAGTCTCCGCCGGCCAGAGGAGGCGACATCAAAGAGGATGAGTCTGAGGAAGAGTGGGAGCTAGGTTTGCAGCCTCAGACTCGTGCCCAGCTAGCTACAGGGACAAAACGCCACGCCGGGTGTATTATATGAAGACATTAAGTAAAGCACCCCTCACTCTGCAATCCCTACTTTTCCCAGGCCCTTTCTGATCTTCTTCATACACAGCAGGCGCTCCATATATGCCTGTTGAGTTGATCTGAATTCAGTCTCCACGGTGGCCAGGGCAAACCTGCCCGAAGTCCCCCAGGTCCGCCGTTCTGTACACTCCTGTCACCCAACATTTCCTTGACCACATCACAGCGTAGGGCTCCCTCTCCCAGAACTCACACCCGTAAACTGGGAAAGCGCTATAGATTTCAGCGATTCATCTTCTCCATTAGAAAGTGTGTTGTCTCATAAATATGAAAAAGCCTGACCCATTGACGAGTTACTGACGATGTTGACAGGTGCTGGGTTTACCACCTTCGCGACCACGAAATCAAAATCTGAACTAGTTTGATTTGCGGAGTGGGGGACACCCCCGCCTCCCTTTATTTAACTGCGAGGAGACTGCACTTGCCTGCAATGAGATCATCCACTGTGTCTCTGAAATCCTGCAGATCGAAGTCCGCTGCAGTTTGCAGAGAATGGTTCTGAAATAAACCAGGGTGTAAGAGAGTTACTGTCAGGTCCAGCAGGCCTGAAACACTTCCCAGACCGACAGTCGCCCTCCCGGGCTTGGCAGCGGGTGTGCACGCACTGTCGCTCGCAACCGAGCCTCATACCTGAAAATCAAAGCCCCATCCCAGGCTTGGAACCCAGCAGGCTTGCACTGCCATGGTGAGGAGCGGCACTCGAAGCAGGGACCGGGTCCCCGAGGGTCCTGAAGGGCGCCGAAACCGTGCGGGGTTGTGTTTGAGGCGGGAGTCCTTCGGCGCTCAGCGTAGTGGCCCCACGCCTGGCAGCCGGCAGTCCCCGCGCCGCCTCACTGGACCGCCACCAGCCAACCAGTTGCCGCCGTGAGGCCCGAGGCGTCCCTCCAGGGCCCGCGGAACCTCAGGCTCAACTTACCTCCGCCCCGCCGAGGAGCTGTGCCCTAAGATAAGGGGGCGGGTGTGCGTAAACTCCGACTTCCCTCCCAAGACCTGAGGCTCTATATCCCGCCGAGACTCAGTCACAGCTAAACCACCTTCTCCCCATACAAGAAGGGAAAAGGTAGGCTATGATGAGGGGGCAGGGATGCTATGGAAAGTGCTTCTGTTCGGCCTGCAGCAAGGGTGACCCCCATTGCTCTTCCGTTTCTCAACAAGTCGGAGTTTATTTTCTCCCTACAGTGTGATGCTCCTCCTACATCTTGAGCTGGACACTCTCCTGGGTTCCCGCAATGTGCCTGGGTGTGTGAGGCAGGAGACAGTAGGAGGCTGACAGCCCCTTCTTATTCCCTTAATTCGTGGACATTGAGAGTGGACAAAATTAGCTCTTTTACACAGAGTCCCTATGCTAATTCTCACCCAATGTAGGAAGCACACAGGACCCAGGAAGTGATTCCTCCCCCTTTGAAGAATCTGAAGCTCAGGGAAAGTGAATTGCCCAGTCATCCAACTCTGAAATGGAACGGGGCTCCTGTCCTAGAATGATGGTGACTATTTCAATCTTCTTTCCTCCATACCTCATCGCCTCTAGCATTGATCTCTTTTTTAAGAAAAGCCGGTCTTCCAATGAAGACAGCACTGGGGAAGAAGAAAGAAGTTTCTCAAGGCATATGGTGTGGGGGAATGCATCCAATATGCCCATTAGAAATATCTATTCTACTGATTCCACTATTGTTGATTGATTCCTTTGTGTTAATCATACTCATCTACCCGAAGCCCTTCTCTACTATTCAAATATTGCCGAAAAGAGGAACATACTCTGACCCTAACCTTGAAGAAAGTACAAGGATCAGCTTTCCTCAAGGAGGAGTGCTTCAATCTGGGAGGCCTCAAGCACCAGTTGGGAACTGAAGCTGTAAGGGTGAAAGGAGCTTAGAAAGGGCTGAGGCAAATCCTGAAGCACAAATTGTGTCCTGGTTGAAGGAGCCAGAAACCAGACTGGTTTTCCAAGGGCTGAAATGTCTTCCTCTTAGTAGAGATTTGGCCAAAACCCTTACCATGAGGAGCCTTGAGGCCAAGTCAGGAACTGGGGCCCAGGAAATGCTTCTTCGTATGCTATCCCAGGTCCTTGGCTCATTCTGGACCTCAAACAAACACTTCTGGAGTGTTTCTGCCCTGTGTTCACCTTACCCAGCAGGAAGGAGGCTAGGAAATTTGACCTGAGTGTGCAATGGCCAGGGTCTTTCCAGGGGCTCTTCCTCTAGAGGGTGTGTCTCCCTCTCTACCAGCTCTCTCTCCCCCAGGAAAAGTCCTGGACCTCTTGGGCCATCAGGCATGAGCTCTGTGCTTGAAACTTTGAATCCTACCTTCCCAATTAGATAAAAATCTGGCATTTTTCCAAACCACAATGGCAGCCAAAAAAAAAAAAAAAAAAAAGGCTAATACAGAACATGATGTGAAATTTAAGTTCCGAATACTTAAGCAAAAATTCAACAAGAGCCTGGTTGGTTTTCATGACTTGCAAAATAAACATGTTGGAGTTAAGATAGTGATTGGGCCTCTGGGTCAGTTGAAAGATGCTCAAGTATTGTCTTTCCTTATTTGAGCATCCAGATCTAAAAAGAAAAACAAAATGTCCTCTGCAGGGCAATGCCCACTCTCACCCCTTGCCTTACCACTCTCAGCTCTCTGTGGCTACCTACCCTGAGTCCATCTGGGCTCTAACCCAATTCTAGAGGCACTTAGGGGAAGCCTGGAAGGCTGTGTTCTACCACCAACCTCAGTTCTCAGAGGTGGTCATATCTTCTGGTGTTCAGTGCTGGACATTTCCCCCATGGAACCGGTGTCCCCAGGACCTGCTGCCAGGAAGCTGGAACTGGCACTCCTCCTGTAGGTTGCATCTAGCTAAGACCTCCTGTCCTTCTGGGCACTTCATGTCCCATCGATGAGCAAGGCAGGCTTCTGGCCTCCCACACACCAATGCTGGGAGGTTCCCTCATCAACTTGGGGAGTGTCAGCCGTGGCAAGTGTTAGAAGTGGGATGGGAGTAAGGAAATAAGTTTTTGAGGAAAAGAAAAAGTCAAATACCTCTTTGCCCCATGAGGGTAAGTGACATGAGCTTTTGGAGGGGGAGAAAATGACTTTTTTAAAGTGCCCCACTGCTGAAGAGCCATCTCTGCAGAGAGGAACGTTTGCTGTCGGATCTCTTCCAGAGTTCTTTGTCCTTCGTCCCTCTTCCCCTAAGTGTAAACTCTATTCGTCTTTCCCAGTCTTGATCGAGTAATTATCCGTCATTCTTCACACTCCTTAGATACCCAGGGAATGAAAATTGTTAGTGAATGGCCGGAAAGGGAATGTTGGGAGCACTGACAGGACATGTACCAGGTGCCCAGCGCTCCATTTTGTTCCCGCCTACTCGCCTGGGTCCTCAGTGCTCAATCTGCAGATTGCTTTGTCACAGCTCCAGGGAATAGATGGGGAGAACAGGGAACAGGAGACCCCGTACCTGGAGGCAAGTCCTCCAGGTGAGCCCCTCCGTCCCAAGTTGATCAGAACAGCTCTGAGAATGCGGCCGACGCAAAAGACTAGGCGGGAGGAAGAAGTTCCGATCCTCGGGGCTGAGATTCCGGCAAGTCTGCCCCCACTAGCTAAATCTGCCTGCGCTCCCGGCCTGAGATGAGCCTCTGTGGAAACCAGCCCTGGACTCCCGAGTCGGAATTTGGGCTGTCGGAGGCCGCCGGGCTTCAGGAGTTAAGGGGAGGTACCTGCGAGGCGGTCAAGTCACCACTAGGCGGCGCGTCGGACCCGAGTAGCGAGGAGCAGTCCGCGAGGTCCTGCAGGTCTATGGTGGTGAGCGCTGAGCGGGGAGAACCGGAGACACGCACGAGGCGGGCCCTGAGTCTCCCCGCCAGGGCTCGCCACTGGCATCCCCGCCAGGACATCCGAGCCCGGGGGAGAAATGTTCTTCTGAGCCGCGCGTGCCCTACCCACCCGGCGCGGGGAACCCGAGGGATCGCGCGGGAGCCAACCAGGCTCACCTGGCAGCGCAGCGGGCTCCGCGTCCGGGGGATCTTCGTACACCGACACTGGGCTGCTTCCGCTGCAACCAGGGAAGAACTTCCGCGGAGGGGCGAACTAGCCGGACACAGAAACGGTGAGCATGGGTCAGCCCACGGGACCCGGAGCGTGCGGACCCTGCCCGGCACCGGCCCGCGGCCCCACCTTCCTCTCCAGCTTCCCGGGCTTGACGAAAGGCCGGCCCCGCAGCTCCAGCATCCGGTTGGGGCAGATGCTGTCGAAGGCTCGGCGTCCCGCCGCGGCGCCTCCGCACGACTGCATCCTGCCTCCCCGCCCGCTTCGGCCCAGGAACGCGGTGCTGGTTATTCGGCAGCGGCGGCGGTGGCCGCGGCTGCAATAGCGACCCACAGTCAGCGCTCCGCCGGGCGCCTACACAGGCAGGCGCGTGGCCGGGTTGGAGGCGAGGGGTGGCTGTAGAGGTGCGGAGGGAGGGCCAGTGGAGAGGGAAGACTGCCGCGCGGGAGGGGCGGCTCGCGCCTGAGCGCCGGAGGTGGCGCCTTCAGCCCCGGACAATCTGCGCGCGGGCGGAGGCGTTAAACCCAACCTGGCAACGCGGCTTCCCCCGGGAGCAGCGAGCGCGGGACCTGGGCCCGCGAGCGCCCTTTTGGTGAGCGTTGGCGCCGCCGCCTCCCGGCAGCGCCTCAGAAAGGGAGGGTGGACGAGCCCCCACTGGTCGCTAACACCGGGTACCGCCTTTCCGCTTTTGGACAGCAGGGATGGAAAAGTTAACGATTCTTATTTCATTTTCTTCCCACCCCAGCCATAAGGCACAAAATAAACGCGGAGTGACACTCGCCAAAGCCAGACTCCGGCATTTGACCGCCTTGTAGAATTTGGTGGGGATGTGGAATTCCCAAAACTACCCCCAGATTACAGAAGGCCCTTCCCCCAAGGCTGGGGGCGCACTTCTGGTCTTGACTCACGGACTTGCCCTTGGTTTCTCTTGGCCTGATGCCTAGAGCCGAGCCCCGTACGCTAACCCCGCACTTTCCCGGGCAGCGACGCCTGAGTGCAGCCTTTAAGAGAGAGTCAATTAAGAAAAAGCGACATCTACAAATTCTCCTCCCCGTTCGGAAAATGCCACACTGGACGGTCCCAAATCCCCTAAAACCCCAGTCGCTTTCTCCCACGAAAGCCTCATTTGGCCACCGCAGCATTTGGCCACCCTGTACACAGCTGGCCTTGCTCGCTCGGCGGAAGTCTCCGCTGCCCTTCCCAAGACCAAGGCCTTTCCCAAGAAGGGACATCTCTAAATCCCTGGGTGAGGGGATCACTCAGACCACTCTTAGATCTATCGAATTTGAACGGTCATCTGAAATTATCTTTGGAACCTCCTATTGGGCCCCATGTTTGTGTCTTATACCAAGTAATAGTAACGAAAATCCTCTCTTAAAGAGGCATGATCCCTTTTTATTTCTCCCTGTTATCTGGATTAATAAAGATACCTCTTAACAGTGTTGGAGATGGTTCTACAATGGTAGAGCTAGAATAGACTTAGAGACTTTTTGACCTATCTATAAATGCAGGGACCTGGTTGGGGTGAGGGCAGGCAGCTAGAATTGGTGTGGTATCGCTGATGGTGAGGGGCTCTGGCTTCAGGGTCAGAGTACCTGAGGATTGGAACCAGGCTCCACCAGATCCGTGAGCCCCAGATCTTTAGGAAAAGCATAACACTGGGGCACCTAGCTGGCTCCAGTTAGTGGAGCATGTGACTTGATCTCAGGGTTGTGAGTTTGAGCCTCACGTTGGATGTGGAGATTACTTTAAAAAAACTTTTTTAAAAAAGGAAAATCATAACACTGACTTCAATAGAGGTGCTATTGAAATGAGATTATGTAATGCAACTGGTGCTTGGTGTGGATAAGTTGATGTTTTTGATGTTGTTTTAAGGAGGCTTTTCAGCTGCTCCTCCAGCCTCCCACAACCTATTCTTGGCTTTGTTCTGATTCCTGAGTAGCCTAGTCACTAGCCAGTCCTCCATCCCTACCCATCTTCCCAGTCTGTAAGAGGAGGAGGGGAGCTCTTAGTTGAGTTTTGGGAAGATCTCTCACCTGAGACCATTCCTGATTTTACAGAATAGACTCATTTTTCCTCAGTGAGTTCCAAAGTGTAGAAAAATAGGGGCATCGTACATAAAAATGTGGCAGAAAGAGCTGGAATAGCATGAATATATGACTCCTATGACTCACATAATATATGATTCTGCAACCAACTCACCCATATCCATCTTGGCTGAGTGATGGAGTAAATGCTGGTGAAAACAACTTCTCCCCAAAGTCACACTTCTGTAAAAGAGCCAGTGGCCCTACCCACCCTCAACAGTGGGTTTGAGGGCTCTAGATATTTGGGGACTTGGGTCAGAGGATACAACTTTTCCTTCTCCTTTTCATCATCACAGACCAGCTTCTTCTCAAACAGCTTTGGGATCACTACTTCCCTATCCCTGAGCCTAAGTCGAGAAAGTTCCTGGGGAGCTGAACATTAACATAAGGGGAGAGAAGGGATCTGAGGGGCTCAGAGTAAGTGGTCCTGTGCTGGAGAGTACCTGGAGGGTGCTTGGGAAGAGAAGTACAAGGAAGATGCTCTAAATTTGGTTTGAGTTTGCTTGCTTTTCATTTATGCAAATTTGTCATACATTTAAACTGATCCTAAAGATAGAACATGACTGAGTTTGTTCCCCCAAAACTTAAGGGTTTTTTAATCTTTTTTTTTTTTAAAGATTTATTTATTTTGACAGAGAGAGAGACAGCGAGAGAGGGAACACAAGCAGGGGGGGATGGAAGAGGGTGAAGCAGGCTTCCCGCCGAGCAGAGAGCCCAATGCGGGCTCGATCCCAGAACCCTGGGATCATGACCCAAGCCAAAGGCAGATGCTTAACGACTGAGCCACCCAGGCGCCCCAAGGGTTTTTTAATCTTACAGAAAACTTGAAAAGAGTGCAATGAATAACAGTAGGTTCACCTACAATAGCTAACATTTTTTTCCATATTTGCCTATTTTTCTCCAATTTTTTTTTCTGTGCTGCCACCAGTCTTCATTTCTTGAAAATTTGCTATATGCCAGGACTGTGTAGAGGGATTTGTATGGAACATCTCATGAAATCCATACCTCTGAGGCGCCTGGGTGGTGCAGTTGGTTAAGCATCCAGATGCTTGGTTTTGGCTGAGGTCATGAACTCAGGGTTGTGAGACAGAGCCCCGCATCAGGTTCTTCGCACTCAGTGCGGAGTCTGCTAAGAATTCTCTCTCCCTCTCTCTCTCCTCTCTCTCTAAAATAAATCTTAAAAATAAATCCATAACTCCATCCTACCAAATAGGTTATTGTTATTCCTAATTCTACAGAAGAGACTCCTGTGTAGAGATGAGACTTGCTCAAGCACTCCAGAGCCCACTTGTTTCATCACTATTTTATACTACCTCAGGATCTCATTTAGGCTTTACAACAGCACTATCAAGATTGTCAGGCTCAGAGAAGTGAAGACATTTGCTGGAGGTGACAGAACTGAGATTCCTCTGGGTCTACAACAGACTCACCACAGTGAGAATGAAGGTGATGAGACAGCTGTGGAGTTAACTCCAGCAAGCCTCAATCTTTCTTTTTTTTTAAGATTTTATTTGACAGAAAGAGAGAACACAAGCAGGGGGAGTGGCAGGCAGAAGCAGAAACAGGCTCCCCAAGGAGCAGGGAGCCCGACGCGGGACTCAATCCCAGGACCCTGGGATCATGACCTGAGCTGAAGGCAGACGCTTAAGTAAGCTTAACCCACTGAGCCACCCAGGCACCCTCAGTCTCACTTCTGGACTCAATTTTCTCACCTGTGTCACGACTGGAGGCAGGGACTGTGCTGGCTCTCCAAATATGTTCTCTATATTCTCTACTGAACGGAACACACTGAGTAGATAATTTGTCTCACACAAAACCCTCAGGAAGAGGGTTTTTTAAAAAGCACTTCCACAAACCTGTTAAGTGGGAGAAGTTGAGCGGTGTGGCTAAGGTTGTGGCTCTAGCCTCCGGATCACCTGCCTTCAAACCCTGATTGCTCTACTATTGCCTACCCTCTCTGTGGTCCAGGGCCCTTCTCTGAAAAATGGGATAATAGAGTTGTTGGAGGATTGAGACAATGAACGCTGACCACAGTGCCTGGTACATTTAAGCACCCAATGATGGCCATGATTACTATTCCATTGTTCTCCCGGGCTCACATGCAGCAGGTGTAAGACAAGTGAACTGTTGAACCAAGTCATTGCAGGGTAAATGGGCTCTATTTATCATGGCCACAACAGCCTGCAAAGCCTTCATTTCCAACATCTGTTAGTTGTCAGAGTAGGTCTTGCTTTGCCCTAGCTAGTGGGTATGTGTGGTTCCCAGAGCTTCCCAGCTGGGCATCCTCTGTGTTCCCACCCCTCTAGACAGCATAGACTGCTGTGGGTTCTATTCAGGTTCACATCCCACCTTCCCTTTGGACCTCTGGGAATGAGCAGTCCTCAGCCTCATAAGAGGGTCATGGGATACAGGTCTACAAGTGACCCTCTCAGTGACTGGCATCTCAAAGGACTAGTGTTCCCACATAGATATCCTACTTACAGAGTGGGAGCCAGGGAGGCAGGACCCCTCCGTCGTTACTACCTGTATTGCCCAGCTGCCCTCTCCTTCCCTCCCCGCAGACAACAGTAGCATCAGACAAACCAAAACTGATAGCCTGTTTATTGGGTAAAGCCTCGGGTCTCTCAGGTGCACTTAGCAAAATAAATAAACGAGGAGACGCTACTATCGTACACTATTTACAACCTGCAGGACGACCTCGGGACCAAGTGGGAGCCAGGAACCCCTCTTATGGGCCAAGACCGCACTCTTTCACAGCAATGGGAGAGGTCCAGCAGCCGGGCCGGGGTAGACAGGAAACCAAAGGTGTATTTCATTTCAATTTCGGCGACAGGCTGCACTTCTCGCGTATCTGGAAGGGCAGCATGTGAGTCAGGGAGGTCTCGTTTATGGCTACCAGTAGCTGCAGCTTGCCCAGGCAGTCCTGCAGTGCGGCCTCGGGGTGCCCGCCTAGGCTCAAGTCCACAGGGCGCGGGAGCTGTAGCATACGGTCGGCCAGCGCCAGGCAACAGATGGCCAGCAGGGAGGGAGTGTAGCTGGCGAAGGCATAGTCGGCCAGGCTCAGCTCCGCCAGCCCGCGCGCCAGGGCTTGAGCCTCCAGGGCTTCCGCGACCTTAGCCTGCCCGGCCTCCACACGCGCGTGCGTGAAATGCTCCAGGAAGAAGCTGATGGTTGGCGCGCCCAGGCTGAAGTGCAGTTTGTGCAGCACGATGCACTCGAGGTTGCAGAGTTGCTGCCGGGAGAAGGCACCGCAGCACAGGGCCAGGAGCTGCTTCACACGCGGCGGGTGCACCTCCACCTGCAACACAGGGGCGCTCAGCCCCCGCAGCGCGGCATCCAGGGCCAAGGCCCATCCCAGGGTCAAACCCGGGAGAAAACCAGGACTCCCCCCATCCCTTCCAGCGAGACAGCTGGGCCTTCGCCTCTCCGTTACTTCCACTTTAATCACCTGGGGTGTACTTCCAGCGCAGTTTCTCTAACTACTGTCCAGCTAAAAAAAGGTTTGAGAAATTTTAAATATTCCCCCCCCCCGGAGTCTAGAATAAAAGGGCTACAAAGAGCTGTTGGGATTTACTTTTGGGACTGACTTCTGCCTATTTCTTTAGGGGCCGGGTGAAAGGACTGTTAGTAGGGAAGTGGGGGGAGCTATTGTGAAATTAAAGCTGTGGGATGTATACGTTTGCAAATGCATGGCAGAATGAATTTGGAGAGCCCAGCACTAAATCTTGTGCGCTGGAAAGCCTGGTGGTGGCCAGAGAGTGGCTGTCCCCCAGACCCCGCGTGGAGGTACCTGTTTGCAAGCGATGAGCAGGGACGTGACCCCAAGCAGCTGGAAGCAGTCTGCAGCCACAGGCGTGGTGGTAAGAAAGCGGTCCAGCGTGTTCACCGTCAGGCAGAGCGATTCGAAGGAGAGGTGGAACTGGCGGTGCACCGGGATCAGCCAGCTAAGCAGCTTACAGCGGGATTCCGCCGTGACCTGCGCGGAGGATCGTGGGAGGAGGACCCGTTGAGCCGCGGGCAAAGAGGGTCTGCAGAAGGAACCTACCAAGAAAACTCAGGGAGCCTCTCTGGAGGAAGGCACAAAAAGGAAAAACTTAAAAGCACTGGAAACTGGGAAACACTGGGACGGCGCTGCTGCGCAAAGAGCAATGGTCTGGCAAGGAGCCGGAACCCTTGGATTCGTACCTGGCCCCGCGCCGCGTGTGTATACACATTACCTTGTAATCCTCTTGTCAATTCAGTGAGGGGAGAGGGCCACCACTTTGCAGATGAAGAAATAAGCTCAGAATTGTTAAATCACTTGCCCGGGGTCGGGAGGAGTCCTGACTGGAACCTAGAAACTGTCTTCACTCCTCCGCCTTCTACCGTGCTCCCGCTAACCAGTATGGAGACTTCGGGCAGGTCACTTAAGCCATCTAGGCCCCACTTTTCTCCATTTGTAAAATGAGGCTGGTGGCCTGGCCCTCTAAAGCCCCTTCCCGCTCGGACCGCGAACCTCCGTGCCCCGGGGCGCGTCGGAGCGCAGACGGAGCAGAAGAGGAAAGAGCCCGAGAGAGAAAGAGGAGCGGGGGTGGGGACCTCGCTCTCCCAACGCCTCACTTGTGGCTGCCGCGCCAGCGACTCCCGCGGGTGGAACTGGCTCTCCCGCGCCTTGCGGAAGACATAGCAGCTCTGACCGTAGTCACGGAAGGTCTGTAGATCTAGCTGCACCAACTGCTGGGCAGGAGCGGGTAGGGGGCTGCAGCCTAGCGCCGCGGATGCTGCAGGACTGTCTGCCCCATCAGACCCGGAGCTGGGGGACTCGAACACGTCGCAAACACCGGAGTCTCCAGGTACCGGGCACGGGTTCAGTGGCTGCAGCGGCTGTTTCCTCCGGAGGCGTGGACGCCTGCTCTTCTTCACCGGGGCGCGGAGGTTCTGGTCGTTGTCCCGCTTCCCAGACCGGGCGGCGGGACTCACGAGACTGGTGGGGCAGGGGGTCACCATGGTGCAGCCTGGTGGCCGCCCTACGACTCCTCGCCTACGACAAACCGAAGGCGCGCTCCAGAGTACGAAGTAGGCTGCCCAGAGCCGCGGCGAAGCCCTAAGTACTCGGCGGGCGCCTTCCCCCTACCACACCCCCGGCTTCTCACTGGATGATTACTGAGCCGCACGAGGCCGCGCTTTCCCGGCCAAAGAACCGCTTGCGAGCAAGCTGTTGGCGGGGTGTAGCCGGCGCCGCCGGCAATGGAGAGGAGGAGCTACGCCCGGCTGAGCGCACCCGCCTTGCACTGCTGGTTCCGCGCGCGTCCCGCGTTACCCAGGTAACGGAGACGGGGTTGCGGCGAGAGCTGCGCGCGCGGCCGGGGGTGGGGCGGCGGCTCGCGGGAGTGAGCGCCGAGTCCCGCGGAGGGGCGGGACTGCTCCGGCGAAAAAAGCTTCTCGCGGCCGCCATCTCCGCGTCCTGGTCCAGATAGTCTCGAAGTGCGATCACCGTTCAGGCCGGCTATAATCCAGGTCGGTAATTTGGTAAAGATCAGTTTCCGACCTTTCAGGGCTCCAACGAGAATTCTGTCAGTACAGGAGTTTTCCTCGGTGACCCATACAAGCAATAATTCTAATTCGATTGCTTTTGTAATTTTTGTTTGAGGCAGGACCCTAGGATCCAGTATCCCTCCTAGCGCTGGTCTCGGGTAGCAGAGCCTCCACAGGTTCTTCTGCGCTGTGTATCTGGGAGCTAGTCCAGCCTCCCAGGCAGGCACTCGTGCGCGAAACAAAAGACTGCCCCGTGTCCCTCAGACAGCAGGTCTGAACTCCTGTAACCCTTGCTCCACACTTGCCCCACCAAACCAAGTAAACGGAGCGGTTTAAGGATATAACATGGTCGGAGCGTTGCATTGCTAGTTTGATCGAATTGCTCAATCGGCCTCTTCTGTTTTAGGTCATTAGCTTCTAATCCTCTGCCACGGGTGGCTCACCCTTCCTTGGTTATTTCCTGCTCTCCGTTTCTGCTCCTTCAGAAGTTCACAAAAGTAGAGCTGGAGCGGGGGCGCCCAGGTAGGAGAGACTGGGCTGGACGAGGCAGTTTCCTCAGGACACTGCTGGTTTAGAACCTAGCCTCCTGCACTGGTAGAAGCCGGCGGCCTAAGCCTGAGTGAGTCTTCCTAAGGGGCACAAGTAGTATCTAGTCAGCCTTACAGGGAGGTCTCAGTGGCAGGAAACCCTCAGCCTGATGAACTTTCCAGAGGCACTCCCAGAAGTGAGCTTGTTAGGTGTCCCAAGAGCAGGTTCAACCATTCCCACCTGATTTCAGAAGAAAGCTGACAAATTTATGTCCTCAAATTGAAATCCCTGTCCCCAGAACTTTTTGGGTGTGGGGTGTTGTCTCTTAGAGATGCAGGAAAGAGAAAAGAGATGGATTTGGAGTTCTGGTCAGTTTTATTCCTATTTCCCTGTAACTCTAAGCAAGGTCTTTAGTCTTTAGACCTAAATAGTTTCGTTTGTCACTTGAGAGATTAGCTAAGAACCACCTGTCTTTCAAGATACAGGTGCCAGGACTTGCTGTCTCCTCAAGCTATTGTTGGGGAACCATTATGGGGTGAGCAGTGAAATCTGTGGAGAGGGGTCAGCTGTCAGACTTTTTCCTTGAGAAGCTTTCTGGATGAGGAGGAAGGACCTAGGAATCCCGATTCTTCTCATCAGCCCAGATGGCTGTGCAGGCCAGTGAAAAGAGCACAAAGTCAACTCCCAGGGTCAGAATTGTCACTCCCATTTATTGGTCACCATGGACTGGCTGTTTACCTTCTTGGAGTCTCTGTTTCTCATTTGTTAAAAGTGGTTATTAATACTTGCCTTGAGGACCAAGTGAAATATGTCAAAAGCTCAAAGTCCTTTTTAAATATAAAAGAGGGGGGTTACATTAAAGCCTCCGTTGGGAAGTCAATATTCTCACCCTGGAGATATTCTGAAAAAGCAGAAAGATCATTTTATCCACCAGTGGATGTGAGGCTAATGTCTGTAGTTAGAGTTAACTCCCAACAGAGGGTGCCTGAGCTTTGTACTGATGGGTCTACACCTCGGTATTTGTGGTATGCCTGCCATGCCTGGTCCAAGACTGTGATCAAGGCTGCATGGGTCCTGGGGCTCCTGGCTGGCTTAGTCAGTGGTGCGTGAGACTCTTGATCCTGGGGGTTGTAAGTTCCAGCCCCAGGTGGGCTGTATAGCTTACTTAAAAAAAAAAAAAAACAACTTTTTTTTTTTTAAGATTTTATTTATTTGACAGACAGTGAGAGAGGGAACACAAGCAGGGGGAGTGGGAGAGGGAGAAGCAGCCTTCCTGCTGAGCAGAGAGCCTGATTCCAGGCTCCATCTCAGGACCCTGGGATCATGACCTGAGCTGAGGGCAGATGCTTAACTGACTGAGCCACCCAGGCTGCCACCCCCCTAAGAAAACCTTAAAGAAAAAAAAAAAAAGAAAAGGCTGCGTGGGTCTTTCCCTCATAGAGCTGACACTCTACTGGGGGAAGTGAAGAACCATGTGACACATTTTAAAAATGATTATGATAGAGGATCTCCTGACTAAAATACAGGATACCCAGTTAAACAACTGTCAGATAAATTTTAGCATGAGTATGTCTCAAATATTGCATGGGACATTGCAGTACCTTGTATGTACATTAAATGTTTAGACTTTACCTTAAGCCATTGAAGACTTACCAAATAGAATCTCTTTTGTTTTAAAAGATTATTCTGGCTGATGTGTGAAAAATGGATTGTAGGGGACAAGAATGGAGGCCATTTAGGTGCAGTATTTGTGGTATGAACAATACAGTGCAAGTTAAGGCCGTCTTATTTTCCCTATGAAGGGTCTTTAAAGTTAATTTCTCTTTTCTAATCTCTCTGGGACCTGGGTGCAGTGCCCCTTTAAGGCACTAGGTAAATCTAAGATACTTTAAAGGTGTAGAACCTAATTAAACCCAGGCATCTGTAATGAAAGCTGCTTAACCATGATTTGACCCTGCTTATTTTCAGGTGTGATTTTTGAAATCTGCAGGATGAATAATGGAACTGAAATTATCTTGTTTTTCTTTCCAGTTTGGCACTCAAGCTTCAGTCAAAAGCCCTCACCGTCACCCTGTCCCAACTCTTGGACTCTGATTGAGGTAGGAAGAATACATTTGCTAACAGTACCTTGTTTAGCAGAGTAAGTGCGTTGGACTTGGTACCTAGGAGTGGACAGCTTTGTTAGTACCTCAAATGATCCTTAAGCTCACTTTTGATTTTAAGTCACTAAAATTTATATCTGTCACTAAAAATTGTATTTACTTAAGACTATTTTCTATTAATTTATTTAAGTGCCCAGATTGAGAAGTATTTAAGGTAAAGTCTGACAAGTTTTTCTGGTATTTAGTAAAGAGCAGGAATTTTCTTTATTCTTTTTTTTTCTTTTAAGGATTTTATTTATTTATTTGAGAGAGAGAGAGAGCGAGCGCATGAGTGGAGAGAAGGAGCGGCAGACTCCCTGCTGAGCAGGGAGCCTGATGCTGGGCTCCATCCCAGGACCCTGGGATCATGACCTGAGCTGAAGGCAGACACTTAACCGACTGAGGCACCCAGGCGCCCCAAGAGGAGGAATTTTCAACACAGTTTTTAATGCCAGACATTTGACTTGCACATCTGAATGTCCACTAGTATCAGCACCTGGGGGAAAGGCCATCTCTTGGTTACCTGCCTTTCTGCTGCTTTGCCACTTGCCAGTTCACCAAGAGCTCAGTGCACACACTCAAGTGCATTGCTGCTTCCCTCATGCACACATGTGCTTTTTCTCCCGACTCACACCCACCAGTGGCATTCTGCCTGGCACAGGTGGTACCATGGAGTGGTGATGAGCTTCCGCTCTGGAGTCACCTCCTGGATCCTCATCCCAGCTCTGCAGCACACAAGCTCTGCAAACTTGGGCAAGTTACTCAGTTTTTTTATTCCTCTGTTTCCCTAGCTGTTAAAAAAAATGGGGTGATAAGAGTCTCCTGTAAAACTGTGAGGATTAAATAAGGCACATAGTGTATGCATGAGTGCTCAGTATGAGTTAGCTGCTGCTCCAATTATGTTTTTCTCTAGCTAAGGTATGTGTCTTTCTGCTAACAAGTGTGGCTAAAATAGTACCTGCTCTAATTTTGCGGATCGACATACATATATGATCAGAATTGGACATTGAGAAGAAGTCAAAGAGTAGTAAGCACAGTAGCATTATGCCTGAGGCCAGTCCAGTCCCCAGCTCTTCTGAAATATGGGAGACTAAGTGACTTGTTTCAGTGAGCCTTGAAAGAATTTCTTCAAACCATGATGATAGCCTAATGCTCTCTTTGCTGCTTTCCCTTTAGATGGTAGAATTGCCCATGTAGATCAGGGGTGTCAGGAGGGAGCAGTTCTCATAATAATTCACTCAAAACAAAAATGCAAGCTAAAACTATCATGAGATATTATCTTGTACGTAATCTGATTGATAAAAGTTCATACTTTTGATAAGAGGATGCAGGGAAATAGGCCTCCTGTGTTTTTGGTGACAGTGTAAGTTGGTACAGCTGTTTTGGAAGATAATTTGGCAAGATTTATAAACATTTAAAATGAACATAATCTTTAACTCAGCATTTCTAATCCTGGATAATTATTCCGTATCAATGCAAATTTACTTTATAAAAAGGTATTTATCACAGTAGCCATATTAAAAGCAAAACATGGATTGTCTTCAAAAAAGGACATCTAAAACAGAATATTATGTGGCCACTAAAAAGAATGAGGCAGATGTTTATGGACTGATGTGGAAGGATTTTCAAAATACCGTGCTAAACAAAATAAAGCAAGGTGCAAAGCACTATGTCAAATATGTTGTCACTGTGTAAAAAAAAAAAATACATACTACCTACATATATCCTTATATATGCATAGAATCTCCCTGGAAAGATAGGCAAGAAACTGGTAACACAGGTTGCCATTGGGAAGAAGATGTGGGAGACAGAAATAGAGAGGGAGGGACTTCCTATTGTACTTTCATTGACTTTTTGAATTTTGAACTCTATGTATGTGTTACCTCTTTTTAAAAATAGCATTTTTCATATGCAGAGGGTTGAAAGCTAGAAAACAAGGAACCCAGGTAAGTCCTGAAAAATGGTGATTGCTATTACATGTGGACATCAGATGGAGTGGTTGGAATAGGACAGGATCTGATCTGTTGTTTTGGAAGTTGGATTATATCAGTGAACAGAACAAAGGGCCCTGTCTTCGCAGAGCTTCTGTGGGGTGTGGCAGTGCAGGGAGAGAGAGAGGATAGAGGGACTGGGACGCTGGGAGTGCCGGAGGCAGGCTGCGTTATTTAATATGTTGGTCAGATAAAGCTCACAGGGAAGATTGGGGCAGAGAACTCGAGGAGGTGGGGGAGTTGGCCACATGGGCATCTGGGGGGAAAACATCCTAGCCAGAGAAAATAGCAGTGCAAAGGCCCTGAGGCATGAACAGGTCTGCCCTGTGGAGGAAGAGCAAGGAGGCCAGTGTGGCTGGAGTAGGAGTGAAAAGGAGAGCAGCTGATGACGTCAGAGAGGTAATGGAGCCAGATCACATAGGGCCTTGTTATTGCTAGCAGTCATATGTCGTAAGACTTCTTATGCTTTGTTACGGTGCACTTTTATTTATTGTAGCATTTAACCATCACCTCAACCATGTGAGATAGGCACAGTTATTGTCCCCATTTTACAAAATGAGAGAATCTTCAGCAAGGATAAGGAGCTTGCTTGAAAATACACAGCTAGTAAGTGGAAAACTAGGACTTAAACCCAAGGCTGTGATTCTAGTCTGGACATTCATCCCTATGCTGTTCTGTGTTTACTAAATGTTAAGAGAGAACCAAGAAAAGGCTTTGAGTCCACCCTTGGGCCACTGCTTAGAGAGGAGAGTAAAGCTGAGGGGATAGAGCTGGTTGAACTTTCTTAGAAAAACCTTGGAGGCTCTGTGGTGTAGTTTCGCAAGGCAGGCAGACTTCCCTGCCCCAAGTATGTGCCAGGAGGTACAAGCTGAGCTAGAATTGGGAGTGGGGAAAAGAAGTACGGCTTCGAGGCTAAAGGAAGTGTGAAGCCGTTTGGAGTGTGATGACCACAGACTATGTCTAATTTCTATGAACCAGCATCCCTTGGGAGATGATTACATGAGAAAGTGACAGTTTCTCACAGAGAGCACAAGTTTCAGTTGTCTGGAGAGGGCAAGTTCGGTTATCTGGTAGCCTTGCTGGGAGTGCAGAGAAGGTCTCAGAAAGCAGACGGGCCTGAAGAGTGAGGGAAACTGGTGGCTTTGTACTTAAGTAGTGACTGATAGGCTGTTCAAAAGTTCAGCTTTCCGGGCACTTGGGTGGCTCAGTCGGTTAAGCATCTGACTCTTGATTTTGGCTCAGGTCCTGATCTCCAGGTTGTGAGATGGAGCCCCGTGTCATGCTCCCCAGTCAGCGGGGAGTCTGCTTGGGTTTCTCTCACTCCCTCTGTCCCTCCCCTCCCCCTGTACTAGCTCGCTCTCTCAAATAAATCTTAAAAAAAAATAAGTTCAGCTTTCGTTCCACCCCCCGTTCTTGGTGTGAACATATATATCAAATGAAGTAGTAAATCTAAGACAAACCAGCAATGGAAGATTTCTAAAAAAGATCTCCTGTTACTAGACTATAACTGTACGGAGATAATGTAGTTGTCTGTCTCTGTTCTTCCACAGCCAAGTGCCTTCTGAGTGCTGGGCCTCACTCTAGGTTCGCAGCAGAGGGTAGGACACACAAGGCCCCTGCTTGCATAGAATGGGGAGGGGAGAGACTGAACACAAAACAGTAAACAAAATATAAACGTTTTCAGACCATACATAGTAAGTTCTGCACAGAGATTTGTGTGTGCAGGCCTAGAGTGTGGATGGACGGGTACTTTAAATTGGATGGTCAGGGATGCCCCTTTGAAGAGCTGTTCCCCTGTACTGCTTGTGTTCACAAGTGAAAATAAGTCTTTTTCTTTTATTGTTGTACAAATCCATTCCCTAAGCGGGATTTCTCATAATACTGCTTACGTTGATATATCATTGTTTGGGGAGCAGTATTTTCTGGTGGGGAGGGACTCCTACAAAGGTTTAGATTATAATAGTTAAATGCTCCTAAAGTAGTTTTCCTGAGGTGATTTGTGAAGAAGTGAGCGCGAGGTAGCCCCACTGTACACAGTGCATTTTTCCCAACCAAATGAAAGATAAATCTCCTACATCTCTGTGTTTGTTGTTGTTGCTTTTATTATTTTAAATGATGAGGCTGCAGCCTGCAGAAAGGTCTTCTTATGCCCCTGTGGGGCATCCTCTGTTATAATAACCTCAGGCTTCTCTGTTAAACAGGGGAGATCTACCCTGTCTTTTCTTTCTCTACCACACAGAAAACAAAGAGGGCAGCCATTAGTGTCTTCAGACTATGGTAAAATAACCCCGTCCCAAATGTAAAGCAAAGCTGGTCCTATTGAAAAACAACAAAGGGAAAAGCTGAAGGGCACAGTATGTAATGCACCTGCTTGAATGTCAAATCACAGGGTACGGATCAAAACAGAGCAGCTGTTGAGGGCTGCCTAGTCATATGTTTCTTAGAATTTATGAGAAAAGGCACCAAGGGCCTGCAGTTAACAAAAGCTCTTAGCAAGTAGCAGGGTAGGTTGCCCTGTTGAGAGGCAGGATCCACTCTCTAGGAGTGTTCAGCTATGTAGATTTGAAATGAATGGATGCTGTGGCTGGATTTTTTTTTTTTTCTTTCCATGTGGCAAGTCTGGATGGTAAAGTTGTATTCTTCAGGAACAATGTTTCCTGGTACTTGGGAGAGAGGGACAACTGTTCAGTTTTCCTCGGCATTATAACCCACATTTCTGTATTACTATTATATCTGCTGTTTCTCTTTCAGCTTGGAGGAATATATGTGTGAACCACTTAGGAAGCATCTGTTTTGTTCCAGACTTTGTGCTCTTCTGTATTCTAGATTGTAACATTAACTTTTAACTCAAAGACCAATTGCAGGTTTTATTTTCGGTGAAATGCACAAAACAATTTTAACAGGGAACTGTGAAAAATATTTTCACCAAAGTTAAACATTTAGAGAATGTGCCTGACTTACTTTGGT